GAACAGAACAAAATATCAGACCCAGAGTACAGAAAGCCAGAGGTAATGTGGCTGTGGGAACATGTGAGATATATTATGCACTGATCAGCATCAACAGAAAACGCACTGACAGGTAAAGTGAATAACTTTGATTATATTGTTACAATAGTATTTGTCAAGGGATGGTATATACTAGGCATAGGTAACCTTTGGCACTCCAGATGTTTTGGACTACACCTCCCATGACGCTTTGCCAGCATTATGGGGGATGTAGTCCAGAACATCTGGGGTGCCGAAGGTTGCCTACCCCAGTAGGCAGTTAGTGAACAGTCAATTCTTGAATTTCATGTGTTGGAAGCAGGAAAACTGGGCAAGTGAAAAGATATGAGTGACTTTGACAAGGGCCAAATAGTGAAGGCTAGACAACTTTGTCAGAGCTTGTCCAAAACGGCAAGTCTTGAGGGGTATTCCCAGAATGCAGTGGTTAGTACCTACCAAAAGTGGTGCATGGAAGAAAAAACGGTGTACCGGCGTTAGGATCATGGGCGCCCAAGGCTCATTCATTCAGGCTCATAGCGAAGGCCATCCCATCTGGTTAGATCACAAAGTAGAGCTACTGTTGTTTAAATTGCTGAAAAACTTAATGCTGGCCATGATAGAAAGTTGTCAGAACAAACAGTCCATCACAGTTTGCTGCGTTGCCACAGTCTGGTCAGAGTGCCCATGATGACCCCTACCCACTTCCGAAAGCGTCTTCAATTTGGGATTTTTAAAAATTTTTATATTCTGTATTTTTTTTCGTGCCCGATAAAACAAAGTACAGCCTGTATGGCCACAACAGTCACACAGGAGTAGCAATTGACATAGTGATACACATATCTGTAAGACATATACGAGTGGTAAAGTTACATTATGTGGTATCTGCTATATTTGCACGTTTTTTATGATGTTATTACGGTCAAGCGAGATGAACATGTTTAATACCCAACTAAAAACTTGATATCTTTTGCAAGCCTATCTATCATGTTTGGTAGGGTGAATACATCTGTACTGACATTGTGCAAACAGCCTGATGGTTAGTGAGGATGAGAGATATTAGCATTAAAGAAAACATAGAGAACATAGTATTACAGAGAGTTAGTATGTAGGGAAACTCCACCTTTTAGCGGCGGATTGTCTGGTGTGAGTATGTTCCCCAGCTGTCAGGTCTTGCGTTTGGTAAACTATACGGGAGTATGCCATCTCTTAGTTGGGATTTCATCTGAGGAGATTTAAGGGTAAGGCTGCATGATACCAGCAGGTCCACACTTTTGTGGGTAAAGTGTGGTGCGCATATGAGTCGTGGTTCAAGTCGTAGTGCGGGTGTTTACAACCCCAGAGTTGCCGGAGGACATGCTTAAGGTTCGGCCAAGTTGGTTCGTGACCCCTAACCTTAGGGAGAGCGGGGGGGAGAAGGGGGAGTATGGACTTATAAGTGTCTCTTACGCTCCCACGGATGGTGAGAGTCTGCGCTAAATAAGGGTCCCTGTGCCTAACTGTGCTGTGCCAAGTGTGAGGAGAGTTAGAGCCAATGGTGATGTTTTTACGAAAAATAAGGTATACCAGTAAAAACCAAACAGAAGAAAATATTGAATGTTTGCGTCGGTAGACAGTTCATGTCGGTGCCCCTCGCCTTTCTGTGCTCCTGGGGACGAAGGGTGTTGCTCTCTCTGGATCCCAGGAATGTGACGCAGAGGGGGCCGCCTGTTGCTGGGATCGTGTGGCAATCCCCAGCATCTGCAAGAATGGTTCAGCATCCTGTAGCGAGGAGAGACTAACTGCGGTTCCGTCTTTAGTTACCGTTAGAGATCTCGGCAGTGTCCATCTGTAGTCGATGTTAGCTGTGCGCAGTGACCCAAGGAACTGCGCCATAATAGTATTCCGTGTTAAGCCCTGGTAGAAGGTTCAATGGGATGACTCAAAGGCAAGTAGGGTTTTTCCCAGACTGCAGTGAGAAGCCTGATTTTGTCAGTTGTGGAGTGGTACCTTACTATGACATCCTGTGAGGCAGTGGATGGTGCTTGTCTAGGCTTTCAGATTCGAAAGAAGCCGTCCAGCACAATTTGTTTGGCTTCGGTGTGTGGAAGGATTGTGGCTGTGAGGCGTCTGAGGTAGTGGGGTAGTTCGGTAGAGTCGATATTGTTAGGGATCCCCCTGATTTTAATGTTGGCTCGTCTATTGCGGTTCTGCCACATCTACTCTTGTGGTGAGGGTGGACTGGAATGCTTGCATTTGTTGGACTTGATCTGTGAGCCCCTTTACCTCCTTGTATATCTTCCTCCGAGGCCTGTGTGCGTGCGGTCACCGACTGTATTTTGGTCTTGAGCAAGTCAGGGTTCGCGGCATGCATTTATCTAATTATTTTAGCAGGTCAGCGACGTCTTGTTTTGTGGCCGAGCTTTGCTTGTCTCAGCCTGCTGATATCTCCGTGGATGGCTGTGCCATTGAGGACTCCGGCAGATCTACGAGGAGCTCTTCTGTG